GCCTCCATTTGTGTTGTTGAAAAAAGGTGTTTGCAATGAATAAGTCATTGGTCTTGCAAAATTCTACCATGCAAGTTCCAGCATTATTTCTGTCACCAAGGCCAAATTTTTCAACTACCAGTGATTCTTCTTTGTTTCCAACTTTTGCATTCCAGTCACCAGTGATAATTAACACATCCTGATTGCATGTTCGGTCAATTTGAAATTGCAGAAGTTGATAAAAATCTTCAATTTCCTCATCTTTGGCTTTGGTGGTTGGTGCATAAATTTGAATAATAGTCATATTAACAGGTCTTCTTCGTAGGCATATGGATATTATCCTATCACTGACAGCATTGTGCTTCAGAACAGATCTTGAAACTCCTTTGTGATGATGAATGCCATGCCATTCCTTTTCAAACTGACATTCCCGGCATAGTAGATCATATGGTTGTCTGATTCAAAATGGCCAAAACCAGTCCATTTCAGCTCACTAGTGCTTAGAATATCAATCTTTATGCGTTCCATTTCATTTTTGACAACTTCCAATTTTCCTAGATTCATACTTCATACATTCCATGTTCCAATGATTAATGGATGTTTGCAGGTATTTGTCCTCAATTTGAGCAGTGCCATGTCAGCAAATGGAGGTCTCGAAAGCTCATACAAATATTATGTGAGTCCATTATTATAAAAAGTCAAGGAAATGTTTACTCTGGAAAGCAAATTTACTTTGTTGATTACCTGGGATGGAAGGGAAGGAGAGGGAAAATTTCACTAGTTGAGTCATGTGTTGATTTGGGTGAAGGAAAGGCAGTATTACAAAAGTGTGTGACTAGCACAATGACAATAGGGAAAAGGAGAACACAGAATGATGCACAAAAGATACAGACAACAGAGGCAAATAGTATCCCATGCACATTACTCCATTACCAGTGGCAGCAAACACTAGTCTATAGGTAAATTCATAGATAGGTGAAAAGGTCAGGTAAGGGTAGGTGAATATGAATATACCGGTGACCATGCATAATTTTGGCTGAAGATATTCTTACACATGTATTTGTCCTACAAAAATATCCGTATCCATTATAGAAGCAACAGGAGGCAGGGTTGGAGTAGCTTCTCAGCAACAACCAAGCACTTGAGGGAGAGAGTCATTGGGCCTTTGGGGTTGGGACCATGGTCTTGGGGGGATATCAAGGTCAATTGGCACAACATAGTACATAAAAATCTTGTGTTGTTGTTGTTGTTATGTGCCGTCGAGTCGGACCTGACTAATAGCGACCCCTCCTTGGGTTTCCGAGGCAGTATCACTATGGAAGTAGATTGCCTCATCTTCCTTCTGAGAAGTGGCTGGTGGGTTTGAACCACCAGCCTTCTGGTTAGCAGTCAAGTGCCTTAGCCACTGTGCTACATGACTGGGGTCTTAAAAGCTTTCAAGTGGCCATCTAAGATGCAACTATTGGTCTCCTTTCATCTGGAGCAAAGAACAGTGAAGAAAATAAAAATCATATAGAAACAATTAGTCCAAGTATGTAATGGACCACAGGGACCTCAGCCTTCACAAACCTGAGACCAGAAGACTAGATGGGTTCTGGCTACCAATGCCAACCACTCAGAAAAGGATCAAAACTGTAGACCCTACATAAAATGGAAGAGAAAAATGTAGAACAAAATTCAGAAATACAAAAAATGACCAGAATTACTGGTCAGATAGAGGCTGGTGGAACCCCCAAGACTATGGCCCTGGGTTATCTTTCTGGCCTGGAACTCAACTCAGCCAAACAATAGAAAAGCCTATAATCAGAACACTACCCCAGGGAAATGCACCCACCTATCCTAGGGAGATGCACCCCTTGGATTAATCAACCATAAGACATCAGAAGTACAGCATATAGGGAAACTTGGACAGACAGGAACAAACAGATAAAAGATGCATGGGGAAGGGATAGTAGATGGGAGGAAAGCTTTTTTTTGTTGTTGTTGGAATTGTAATCCGGGCCGTGAAACCAAATGTGCATGAACAATTGAAAGTAAAATGAATCTACTTTATAAATTTTCACCCAAACCACAATAATTTTTTTTAATTGTTAGAGGAACCTAATTTGCTGTATAAACTTTCACCTAGAACACAATAACATATTGTTAAATTTTATTGGAAACCCTAAGGGGCAGATCCACTCTGTCCTATAGGGTCATTATGAGTCAGAATCGACTTGAAGGCAATGAGATTTTTTTTCATAAATGCTGAAAGCTAATACTTACTGAAACTTAACATTCCAAGTATTGTGTAAGCAAATGTTAATTATTCTAATAATCAACAATTCTTTACTGATAGTATCCTATGTACAAAGTAAGCTATCTCATTCAACTCTGACACCAAACTCGGCAACCAAACTCACTAACATCAAGTAGATTCCAACTCATAGCGACTCCGATTGGGTTTCCAAGGCTGTACATCCTTAAGGAAGCAGATCACTCCATCTTTTTTCCCTGAAGGGGCTAGTGAGCTCCAACCACCCACCTTCTGGTTATCAACCAAATGCCTGAACCACTACACCACCAAAGCTCCTTTAATTCTGACACAGGCTTATGAAATTTAACCTCCATTTCATTATCTTCATTTTACAGAAGACGAAACCATTCTGAGAGGCTAGTGAAGCTATTAATGAAGACAAGTAATCCCTGATTTACTGATTGTGTTCAGATGATTTCATCCTAAATTAGTTATGAGTAAATTGAATGAATACCTATTTTTTTTATTTTTTCATATTATGGACTTTTATTATCTCTATCCTTACAAATCATAACATTGAATATCTGAGATTGGCAACATCATTAAATTATGCTGTGCAACATTTTATGTAGTATATATTACTAACGATAAGGGAAGAAAGGAAAAAGATAATTGTGAGTGCACTTCGTTGGAACTCCAATACATCATTAATCCGGGACTACTTGAACTGGTATGGCACTTCCAATCTGGATTGCAAACTTGATGTTCTTAAAAATTAAATCAAATGGGGAGAGTTACCACTAATTCCTTCAGCTAAAATTATCGTGATATTACTCAAACTACTACTCCTTCTCTTCCTCATCCTCCTCCTAACAAGCAAGGCAGTTTCTGTCCCTTAAGCACTCCTCGAAAGACGATGGGGCAATCTACTTCCGTAGTGATACTGCCTCAGAAACCCAAGGTGGGGTCGCTGTGAATCGGGTCTGACTCCACGGCACATAACAACAGCAACAGGCTCTTCCCTTAGATCTGAAGAGACCCAGCATGCCTGTGACACGAGGTGCACCCTGGGAGTGGTAGTTCTTCTAGGTGCCCACCGGTGTTGCGCGCGCGCCAGAGGAGGCGCGCTCGCTCTATCCCGTGGGTCCTGTGAGGCGTCTGAGGCGGAGGAAGGGTGAGTCAGACGCTGTTTCAGTGACAAACTGATGAGGCGCCATAGCTAATGATAAATTAAGTAAATGCGGCCCCGGCCTCAGTCTGTTTAGGGGCGCGAAGATCGTAAACGTAATCCAAGGGAGAACTGATACGAAGACTGAGCCTGGTGGCTGCAGTCATTCTCTGCCTCAGCGCGCCGCCATTTCCACCATGCAATCCCAGGGGGAAGCCCCGGGCTCTAGCCGCCTTGCCAGCCCCCGCGGCGGGAAACAGCCTAAGAGGGTTCACAAATCTACAGTTTCAGACTTTTTCACCGGCCCAGAGGAGATGAAGGACACGGCCCATTCTGCAACCGTGATGAAACAACTCAAGTCTTTCTACGATGCGCGGTTGCTATGTGATGTGACCATCGAGGTGGTGACACCTGGTAATGGGCCTGGTACTGGTCGCCTCTTTCCCTGCAACCGCAATGTGCTCGCTGCCGCTTGTCCCTATTTCAAAAGCATGTTCACGAGCGGCATGTACGAGAGCCATCAGGCCAGTGTGACGATGCACGATGTGGACGCTGAGTCCTTCGAGGTGTTGGTTGACTATTGCTACACGGGTCGTGTGTCGCTGAGTGAATCCAATGTGGAACACCTCTATGCGGCCTCTGACATGCTACAGCTTGAATTTGTAAGGGAAACCTGTGCTTCCTTCTTAGCTCGTCGCCTTGACCTGACCAACTGCATCGCCATCTTCAAGTTCGCAGATGCCTTTGACAATCACAAGCTGCGGTCTCAGGCCCAGTCCTTTATAGCTTACAACTTCAAGCAGCTAAGTCAGATGGGTTCGATTAGGGAGGAGACGCTGGCAGATCTGACCCTGGCCCAGCTACTGGCTGTTCTGCGATTGGATAGTCTGGACATAGAAAGTGAGCAAACTGTGTGCCGTGTGGCCATGCAGTGGCTGGAGGCTGCACCCAAAGAGCGAGGTCCTAGCGCAGCAGAAGTCTTCAAGTGTGTCCGGTGGACACACTTCACTGAAAAGGATCAGGACTACCTGGAAGGCCTGCTCGCAGAGCCCGTTGTAAAGAAGTACTGCCCAGATGTTATTGAAGGGGCCTGGCAGATGTGCTATGGTGACATGATGTACAAGACTGTGGTGCCAGAACCAAACAGCAGCACCAGCTCAACTGTATCCTTTGCAGAAAATACCCCCCAGAGGTTGGGCATGTGTGCCAAGGAGATGGTGATCTTCTTTGGACACCCCAGAGATCCCTTTCTGTGCTGTGACCCATACTCAGGGGATCTTTACACAGTGCCATCACCTTTGACCAGCCTGGCTCACACTCGAACTGTCACCTCCTTAGCTGTCTGTGTCTCTCCAGACCATGACATCTATCTAGCTGCCCAGCCCAGGAAAGACCTATGGGTATATAAACCTGCCCAAAATAGATGGCAGGAACTTGCAGACCGCTTGCTATGTCGTGTGGGCATGAATGTGGCTTACCTGGATGGCTATGTTTATGTTGTGGGTGGGCGAGATCCTGTTACTGGTATTAAAGTGAGAGAAGTAGAATGCTATAGTGTTCAGAGGAACCAGTGGGCACTGGTTGATCCACTACCCCGTTCTTTTCTATGCTTTGACCTAGTTGTAATTCGAAACTATCTTTATGCTATTAGTAGTAAGCGCGTATACTGCTATGATCCTAGCCACAATATGTGGCTGAGGTGTAGTTCTCTTAAACGCAACGACTTTCAGACTGCTTGTGTCTTCAATGATGAGATCTATTGTGTCTGTGATGTTCCAGTTGTGAAGGTCTTCAACTGTTTCAGAGGAGAGTGGAGGCAGATTAGAAGTACTCCCTTGGTGTTAGAGAATAGCAACTACCGGCTTATCAATCATGGCCAAAAGTTGATGCTCTTCACCTCACGAATCCCACAATGGAGAAAGAACCAGGTGACTGTATATGAATATAACATCAGGGAAGACCAGTGGATTAACATAGGTACCAAGGTAGGCCTCTTGCAGTTTGACTCTAGGTTTTTTTGCCTCTCTGTTCGTGTTTTTCCTTCTTGCCTTGAACCTGGTGAGGGTTTCCTCACTGAGGAAGAGGAGATACGGGCTCGATCTAGGACTGAATGGGATGTAGGTAGATTCAGTGAGTTGGGCTCTGACTCAGCAAGTTCAAGTTCTTTATCTGATGATAGTATCTGGATGGGACTAGGGCCTCACTAAAATGGACAGGATCATCAGGGTTCCTTATAAATAAGTTGAAACCCTAATGTGCTTCTGGTATGGAAAGTATTTTTAAAAGACATGTTTTCCTTTTCCTCAACTAAGGGGTTGATCAATTGCAGGTTTGGTTTAGAAGGGGTATTGTTTTGAAATACTAATATTATAATTTAAATACTCCAAGAAATCAACCTATTTAATAATTTACTATGCTAAAAGTCTGAGTTGATTTAATTGGTTAGTATGTTTATTTTTCATTATTGCAATTTGTCTTTCCATTTTTGCATTCATTTAGTGCCACAACCAATGTAATTTGTGAAACTTAATTTTTATACAATAACCGGAAACTAATTGGAATAGGAATTGCTGGTAGGGTTTTGAAAGTGCGTATTTTCCTTCAGAACAATATGGTAGATTTCAAACTTAAACTGGTGTGTTTTTTACAAAACATACTCTATGTTAAATATAGTTTGTTAAGTTCTAGTTTGGTTTTCTCTTCTTACACACACACAGAAAGAAAATGCATACTACATATGTCTTAATTGTGAAAATTGGAGAAAAAAAAGGATCCTATTATTTGAAAAGATATTTCCATTTCATTTTGGAATATAAAATGTTTTCCTGCTAAAAGTGACCAACTTTACATGTGAAAGAATTATACCCTAGTAGTGTCATTAATCTTTTAAGAACCTTTCTAAAAACAGAAAAAGTAACTTGCTTTGTAAGTTCATATTTTTGATCTATACCTGATAATACTTCATTGAATCAGAGAAAAAGTTCTTTTTTTTTTCATTGGATGTATGATTGTGTAAAATTTTATTCATTGCCTTGTCTTAAAAAGTTTATATGATTGCTAAAATATATTGGCTGTATAGTTCTGGTGTTCAACTTAGAGGACTCTTCATCAGAAAGTGATTTATTCTTTACTGTTTGTGAGATTATACTGGTTTTGTAAATATGGACAAACTAAAAACAGTATTTTATTGAGCTTGTTAGTTATTGTGCCCATCAACTGTAAAATCAAAGGCCAGAACTTTATAACTTGAAGCTGTGTATAAATTTGTGTAGCACTGAAATCATCCTTGTCACTGTAAATGCTGTTAATTACCAGCTTTAAGGTATTTTTATGCCAAAAGTTGACAGTTAGAGAACATAAATTAGTAGTAACATTTGGGACCAATAGTTAAAATATATTTCCTTTAAAATATTTCCCTAAACAGTGATATTGCATCATTATTTTGTTATGGTACTTGTATCTGTTCTGCATTTCTCTGTGAACCATGTTCCAGTCTTGTTTTTGTTGTCTTATCACCAAAATGTAAGGGAAAGCCCAGGAATAAAGACTAAATTGCACAAAACTGATATTGTTAGACAAGAAAATATAGGTGCTTTCCTTTTAAAACTTTGTTAATAATATATTGTTGTCATGATACATATCTATGATAAATGGCCAGATGCTTATGCTTTATTTTTTAATATCCAGTTAGAATGATATCCCTGAATCTTTCCTTTCAGTAACACTTTAAGCCCTCTTCTGTGTTTATTTTCTGATGACGGAATGCTAGCATTTCTTTCACCATGGCAGAGTACAGAAGCAGATGCTCTGGTGTGGGAAACTGTTTTTGAATGAAATGTCATAGAAAGGAAAAAAAGAGAGGGAGTGAGGAAAGGGTAAAGAAAAACAAATAATGTTTTCTTAGCCATTTTGACTGGCCATTTGAAGAGTCTATAGGACATTCCTGTTTAACATTATTTTTAGTGAAATGAGGTGCTTGCCCTAGCAGTAAGTATTCCCTCAAAAGGGCAAATATGTTTTAGTGGCCGAAAGCTAAATTTTGTTCCATTTAATATCAGGGATGTTATAAGCACTGATCTTTACATATATAGCTATTCCTAGTGGCATTTTTTTTTTTTCTTGGCCAACTTTTTCTTCACTAGTAACTTCTTGGTGATACAGGTTTTTGTTTGTAAGGTTGCAATATATGACAATGCTTATCTCAACCAGATTATTCATTTGCAGAGTTAAAATGTATTGTAACCAATCTATAAAAGACACATGCTCTTTTTTTGGTCATTGTAAACCTTTGAGTTAAATAGCTAAATAGTAGTATTATCTTTATTTATAATGAGGTTTTCTTGGGAAAAATTTTGACTGTGAATTAGGGAGTAGATGTTAACCATTATTTTATAGGTAAGTGATTTGTATGTGGTTAGCTGCAAATAAAATTGGCATTAGAACCCAGGCTTCCTGACTTCCTAATTCATTGCTTACTTCCACACTGACTGACACGGACAGTAATTTTGAATTCCTTTATTGACAGGAAAGCAGCCTTGTCTCAGTTTTCAAATTAATAAACACATTTGTTAGCAAATGCTCACTATAATACAGATTTCAGGACTAATATTTGTAAGATTTAGAGTATATTGTAATTATCCTATGTGTATCTTATTCCTATAGTCTGAAAAACTCACAGAACCTAAATTGTTGCAAATACTTTTAAAATCAAGGGATAAGTGTCATTTTTGTTCTAAAAGGATAAAATAGAAATCAAGACCAAGGTTTTCCTGTCTTCTTGTTCTGCTATTCTTAGGGTGTTACCCTGGTCCACATGATCCAAGCTGGCTCATCATCATGTCCACATTCCAGGTATCTGGAAGGAAGTAAGGGGAAGGTTTGCATATTGCTCCTGGTCACATAAAATTGGTCAGGTCTTAACCCTTTGGCCACATCTAGCCACAAGGGTAGCTGGAGAAGTAGTCTCTATTCTGCGTCACTATGTACTCAGTTAAAATTCAGGGGTTTATTCTAGCAGAAAAGGGGGAAAATTAAGTTTTAAATAGCAATCTCTGCCATGCCATCTGTCAGGCTAAATTTTGTCACACTGCAGCCAGAATGATTGCCAGAACTCTCAGGACCCACATCCTTCCAGCTTAGAAACCTCAGTGAAAAGAGGCAATATTTTCTGATGCAAGAATAGACAATTACTCAGGTACCTGGGCCTGGGGCCACTTCCTGGACTACCTGGGCTGCAGCCATTCAGAAGCACAGTAAGGCAAAGTGTTCCAATAGAAGAAAGCAACTGAGGAGAAAGTGACCAGGCTGCAGATGAGCTATTTCACAAGTAGTATAGCATCAACTTGAATCTAAGCAAGAGTATTGACTAGAGGTGAAGGTCCTGTAAGGCCGGAACTCTGGCAGAGTGCCACATGAGGTCTTGCCTTGCCTCCAGTGGTGCCCTTCATTCTAGACTAGTACTTGGCTTACTCAGGCTGGCCTGGTGTCCTGAGTTGCCTGTAATCCTGGCCCCGTTGACAATAGGTGTGTGGTATGAGAGCACCCAAAGTGTGGAGCTCTCCAGGACACGCACTGCTAAATGGCTGGGCAGCCTGAGAAGCATGAAAGTGAGGATACAGTGGAGGGCAAACAGATAATCTGCTTGAGGCCCAAGCCTGGGTCAATGGGAAGACACTCATCCTAGGGATTACTGCAAATGACACAAATCAGCTAGGTCTACCACCCCAAAAAAAGACTGCCTCAACCTCCTCCTACTCAAAACAGTGAAGGAAGACACTTACATCTTGTCTTGATTTAAATAAAGTGTCAAAGACTGTGTACTTGTATCCTAAGTCATGAGCCAAAATCTTGTCCCAACATTATGTTGACTGTTCCAGTTTCTTCAGTGGAAAGAAAAGAACTCTGAGAAATAGCTTAGTATAATCGATGGCTGTACTAATTATCTTAAAAAATAAAAGTCACTTCTGAGGGGGCAGGGGAGACACCAGAATTATAGGTTAATGAAGAGAACTAAAAATTTCCTAGGGTAAACTAGATTATGTACCAATAGTCCAACATTTTCTGTGCCTGGATTATCTTTAAGGACCTCTGGTGGTGTAGTGGGTAAGGCATTTATTTGGCTGCTAACAAGAAGCTCAACAGTTCAAAGCCACTAGCTGTTCTACAGCTAAAGATTTACAGCCTTGGAAACCAAAAGGGGTAACTATGAGTTGGAATCGAATCAATGGCAGTGAGTTTGGTTTTCTTTTGTTTAATTATTATTATTATTGGATTATCTTTGTGGTACTGTGATGTATTTATTAATCTCCCTCTCAGTTGAAATCCCACCCATTAGCCACAATAGTTATTCAGAATTTAAATTTTTTCCTGGTTCTTTAAGGATGGCAGGGACATATGGAAGACTGACAACAGGAAAGGAGACAGGTGGTGAGTGTGTAAGTGCTACCAACTAGTGAACAGAAGAGCACAGTACCCTGCTTACATAGAACAGCCAAAGAAAACAAAAATCGTGGACAAGTCACTCCAACATACAATCACCAATTAAATATAAACACAAAAACATCACAATGTCTCAAAGACAATAGACCATCACAGTTCACACAAAGAAGCAAGATAAAGCAGGAGAAACAAGGCACAAGGTTACAGACCCAAAACACATCTCCAAGGAAGAAGCAGCATTAGAACTCCCTGATAAGGAATTCAAAAGAATTATATTTAGGTACCTTCAATAGATTGAGAGAGATAAGGAAAACACTGAAAAAATCGAGGAAAACACAGAGAAAACCCTAGAACAATTTCAAAAGCCAATACAAGAACAAAATGACAAAATAAAAATTAGAAATGATACAGAATCTACAGACAAAAATCCAGAAGATTAATACTAGATTTTCAGAAATAGATAACACATTGAATGGGCAACAGAGTAGAATTGAATCAACGGAATACAGAGTTACTGAGATTGAAGACAAATATCCCATTACTTCTTTGGAAAAGGATCAGTCACAAAAAAGAATGAAGAAAGTGTAAGGTTCATGTGGGATACCATCAAAAAGAATAACCCAGAGTCTCTGGCAAGATGGCGGACTAGGCAGAAAGACTTCACAGACCCTCTTCAACAAAGAAAAGGGAAACAAATTAACACAGACACAGAAGATAATCCTGGACCCCTGAGCCTTGAAGGGAAGGATATAGAAGTGGACTAAACCCC